GAGCAAGACTCGGACAATGAAATCATCTGGTAGAAAAAGTGTCTGTTTTAGTCTATGTTTACTAGTTTTCTTTCATATGGGTTTTCGGTTTCTATGCTTTTCTTGAATAAATTATGATTGTGTTTCCGCTTATTTGATTGCTCCAAGCACTCTGAGGATGGGTTTAAGACCCGAAACAGCTGGTCTGTCAGTGCTCTACCAAGGTTATATTTGCTACCAAGACACTTCCAAACCGCTGTTAAAAAGACTACTACACAATACATCTGCTATATTATCGCTTGGGAATAGAACCAAAGGATCCCTGATCTTAGTAGTGCCCGAAGCTATTAGCTATGTTGAAAAGACAAAGAGAACCAAGTCCGGAAACCGCTGTTAAGCAGAGAAGGTTGGAACAGAGGCTTCCCTCCTTACCAGTACATGGAAAAAGACCTATACTGAAGGCAAGACTGTCATGGACGGTCAAAGGAAAGGATGAAGGCGCCCAAGGGTCTTTCCTGTTCGACACCGGTTGTACAGGAGCTATCCTCAATCAGAGTTTTGTCAGGAAACATGGAATTCCCTTAGTGCGGCGGGATCAACCTCTAACAATGTTTGATGCTCAAGGAGATGTCATGATGGGAGGAGGCGAGTATTACACTCACCCGGTCCATATGACTATGGGAGATCATAAAGAGACACTCCGATGGGAGGTGGCTACTTTGGAAGAAGGAATGACCGGTTACCTGCCAATTAGTTGGGCTAGGAAGCATAACCCGGACATCAATTGGGAACTCAACACCATGAGCTGGAGGAGTGACTACTGCAAGCAGAATTGTCTCCCAGCGGCCACCAAGATTGAGCTGATCTCTCCATACCAGATGTTGGAAGAAGAAGAGACGGTCTATCAATTGGTTGGTTCAGTATGGCATGATGAGGACGGAGGTGATATTGCTGAGAAGATACACCACCTATACCGGGATTGGGCTGATGTGTTCAGTCAAGAGAAGATTGAGGAAATGCCGCCGCATTCCCATAATGATTTAAAGATCAAACTCTTGCCTGGGACCGCTCCCCCATTTGGCCCGCTGTACCCATGTTCCGCTCCAGAATTGAAGGCCCTCCGAGAGTACCTGGACAAAGAATTGTCTTCAGGAAAGATCTCTAGATCTAACAGCCCTGCTGCGGCGCCCATACTGTTCATTCCTAAGAAGGATGGGACATTGCGGATTTGTGTGGACTACAGAGGATTGAACAAGGTCACTGTCAAGGACAAGTACCCGCTGCCTATCATGAGTGAGCTCAGAGACAGGTTGTTCAAGGCCAAGATCTTCACAAAGATAGACCTGAAGAACGGCTTCAATTTGATCAGGATAGCAGAAGGTGATGAGTGGAAGACCGCTTTCAGAACCCGCTATGGACTGTATCAGTATAATGTGATGCCGTTTGGTCTATGCAATGCTCCCTCCGCTTTCCAGGCAATGATCAATGATGTGCTAAAGGAACTACTGGATGAAGGAGTGGTTGTCTATATTGACGACATCCTCATCTACTCGGAGACTGAGAAAGAGCATGAGCTATTGGTCAAGAGGGTACTACAGAAGCTTAGGGAAGCTAAGCTCTGTGCCTCGATCAGTAAGACATCCTTCCATGTCCGAGAAGTAGAATACCTAGGCTATCACATCTCGGAAGAAGGAGTATCTATGTCAGAAGACAAGGTGGAGGCAGTTAAAGAATGGCCGGTCCCTGAGAATATCAAGGCAGTACAGGCATTCCTCGGATTTGCAAACTTCTATCGCCGCTTCATTGAAGGCTTCAGTAAGGTTTGCAAGCCATTAACTGACCTCTTGCAAAAAGACAAGAAATGGTATTGGACGGCAGCACATGAGCAGGCCTTTGAAGAACTCAAGAGGCTGTTCACAAGCGCTCCAATCCTTCTTCACTTTGACCCTAGTAGGAGAACGGTGGTCGAGACAGATGCCAGTGATTTTGCCAAGGGAGCAGTGCTCTCTCAGTATGGGGGCGATGGAAAGCTACATCCGGTGGCATTCTATTCTAAGAAGTTCTCCCCTGCTGAGATCAACTATGACATTCATGATAAGGAAATGGGAGCTATTGTAGCCTCTTTCCGGGAATGGGAACACATGCTCAAATCTTGTGAGCAAGAGATCACGGTTTTTACAGACCACAAGAACTTGGAGTACTTTAACTCTACAAAAGTTCTCACTAGGCGGCAAGCTAGATGGTCTGAAGATCTCGCAGGCTACAATTTTAAAGTTGTCTACAGACCGGGAGAAAAGAATGGCAAGACTGATGTGCTATCTAGGCGCTGGGATCACCGCCTTGGAGAGGGAGGTGAAACTCTGCAGCCGGAGCCACAGATCTTTTTTAGGCCAGGTCAATTGGTTTTGGATCCTGCAAAGCTAGTGGCTGTCAGGGTGAATCAATTGCAGAATACATTCTTAGAGCGCCTATACACGGCTGCTAAAGAGGATAGTTTCTGGCAGGAATTGCACCGCTCTCTGGTTGAAAGGAAACCAAATTTGGACCAGAACTTGTCGGTCAAGAACGGTCTCATCTTCTACAAAAATAGATGGTATATACCCAAGGACAAGAAGCTTCAGATGGAAATACTGTCCGATACCCATGACTCTAAGGTGGCTGGTCATTTTGGTCAATTTAAGACACTAGAGCGGGTGAAAAACAACTTCTTTTGGCCCAACATGGATAAGGATGTTGAGGAATATGTCCGGAGCTGTGACAGCTGCCAGAGGAATAAGACCTCAAGACACAAGAAGTTTGGTATGCTCCAACCGTTGGAGATACCCTATCGGCCATGGACTTCCATCTCTATGGACTTCATTGTGGGATTACCGGAATCTAGTGGGTTTACAAAGATCTGGGTAATAGTGGACCGTTTTTCGAAGATGGCACACTACATCCCTCTTCCTACCCTCAATAAGACGGAAGATTTGGCTAAGTTGTTCTTGAAGGAAGTTTGGAGACTCCATGGTTTACCTGATGACATAGTCTCGGACAGAGATAGCAGGTTCATCTCTCACTTTTGGCAATCTCTCATGAGTCTCCTCAATGTGAAGCTGAAGATGTCCACATCTTTCCACCCCCAAACGGACGGTCAAACAGAAAGAGTTAACCAGACCCTGGAACATTACTTGCGGAGTTATTGTTCATATCAACAGGATGACTGGGCAGAACTCTTGCCTTTGGCAGAGTATGCATATAACTCAGCGGTCTCTGAGTCTACCAAAGTATCGGCTTTCTATGCCAACTATGGATATGAACCCAGGACCAACTGGCCGGCCCCAAAGGAAGGAGTAGAATGGAACAATCCAGCGAGCGAGGTCATGATATCTCAATGGGAATCTATCTGGCAGGCTATGAACGCCAGCTTGGGTAAAGCTAGATTAAGGATGGCCCGGTGGTATGATGCTCATGCCCTGGCACCGCCTGAAATCAAGCCCGGAGATGAAGTAATGTTGGACCGGCGCAATGTGCAAACAAAGCGGCCTTTGGGAAAATTGGATCAGAAGAAGATGGGACCTTTTAAGGTCTTAGAAGCTATTGGTACCCGTGCCTACAAGCTCTCTCTTCCCCCTCAAATGGGAATCCACCCGGTCTTTCATGTCTCTCTTCTGGAACCTTACCGAGCACCGGTAGATCCTGAGAGAAGAGTTCCACCACCGGAACCCGAGGAGATTGAAGGAGAACAGAACTGGGTTGTCCGAAAAGTAGCTGATAGCCGGGTCAATAAGAAAAGGAGACGAGTGGAATACCTAGTGCTGTGGGAAGGTTATGAAAACGAGGATGCTACATGGGAACCTTGGGAGCATCTCAAGAAGAGTGCTGAAGAAGCCCTTCGGGATTTCCATATGAGGTATCCTAAGAAACCCAAGGACAAGCGGATTGTTGGGGTGTAGATTATTCCCTCTTGGGTTTTCATTTCCTTGCATATCATGGAGTTTCTTGTCATATAGAATGAATGGTAATAGAATGGTTATAGATCTCGGAGACCAAGATCCTGGAAGAGGGGAGTGGTGTAACGGAGCCATTTCAACTGTCTGGTGTATGAGTACACACAGGGCCCGGTTACATGCTGAGAGTTATTGTTAGAAGCCAGTTGCACGGTGATATGCAAGTACCGGCAGTGTGGTTAGCTACCAGCTGTTAGAGTAACTACATTCCGGGCGCTAGGAAGGGGATCTATTCATGGGAGCAATGACTGACGAGTCTATGCCTCGCCAGTGTCTAGAAGATCGGCCAGAGTGAAGCTCTGATTGTCCGGTGATCCACTGTATCCTCGGAGCATTGTAAGTCCGCCGAAGGGCAGGGACTATGCTAGGGAAGTCTACAATAAGCGGAAACTCTACAGCAATGATTAAGCTTACACCTGAGCGGCAGCTTATCCATGCAGGTCCTCGGTTGTGTGGCAACCAAGGCTGCAGGTGTCATAAAGGCTTTGACTAAGGGTGGTTGCCTTGGGTATCGGAAACACCTGCTGACGCTTAGAGAAAAGCGGGGTAGCGGTGGTATTGTTTTCCGGTACTGAGGGAAGGCCCACCGGAACTTAGTAAAGGAGTTAGGAGCAGAGGACAGAGGCCTTTGGAGTATAAGTACTCAGGCTCATTCTCGCCCTTCAGTCCTGTTCTCTCCAGTCTTGATCAGAAGGAAAAAACCAAGTTCTTATCGGTAGCAGAGCCCTTAAAGATTATTGAGTTCTAGCGATAGTATCTTTGAATAATCTGCAACCTGATTGTCTATCTTGCACGGCCGTCTCTATTCTATACAAATCTATTTCTCTTAGAAAGGACCCCCGTTACATTCGGAGTATAAGTACTCAGGTTCATTCTCGCCCTTCAGTCCTGGTTCTCTCCAGTCTTCATCAGAAAGAAAAACCAAGTTCTTATCGGTAGCAGAGCCCTTACAGATTATTGAGTTCTAGCGATAGTATCTTTGAATAATCTGCAACCTGATTGTCTATCTTGCACGGCCGTCTCTATTCTACTTCATTCTATTTCTCTTAGAAGAGACCCCCGTTCCAATGAGTGGGTTTTCTCCATTCGAGTCTCTGCTCTGGAGATCCAGCGGGGAACCTGGGCAAGTTGGAAGTTCTCTCCATAGTTGCTTCTGATTTCTGATGCTACCAATTGTCCCGCCTCGATGCCCTCCCCGACCGTTGTGGGGATTCCATGGAGGAGGAACTTTGACCATTTGGAGTTTGCACGGATGATGGCGACCGGTACCTGTAGGGTGAGGAGGGCCTCCTCAATTTCTTTGGCATATTCCATTGCCTTTGTTGCAGGGGTAACGAATTTTGTTTCCAAGATGAAGTTATCCTTGGCTGTTCTCCTTGCTGAGATAAAGTGGCAGGATTCGTCTTGGATTCTTGCGTTGACCAGGGTCCTGATCTCGGAGGTGTTGACATCGGATGGAGCAGTGGTTTCAACAATGATTTCTCTGTTGATTTTGGTGTACTCTGGTTTAAAGATGGGGTCCGCTTTTGGCTTTGCAGGCTTCTTTCTTTCGACCACCTGGAATTTCTGAGCAGGGACGGCTGCCGAGGCCACGGTGGCCCAGGTGCCTGCTTTCCATCCACGGGGTGGGGCTTGTTGGGGAGGTGCGGGTGGGGGGGCCTGAGGAGCTGCCTGTAGCGCTGCTTGGGGAATTGTTTGGGGGACCGCTGGAGGGGCCGTTCTTTGTCTCTGTTGCGGTTGTTGTGGTTGTTGTTGTTGCTGTTGTTGTTGCGGTTGCTGCGGTTGTGGTTGTTTGTTGAGGAGGGAATGGATCGCCGAGTGCATATTGGTGATCATCATTGTTTGTGCCTCGATTTGGTGTTTCAGTGTATCCACTGTTCTCCGGAGTGTGATCGATTGCTCCTCGAGGTATTCAATTCTGTCGGAGGGTGGGCAGATCCGGCTGGTGGCATGTCTGATGGCCCAGGTAATGTAGTTTAAGTCTGTCTGGGTGTGAGTGGTTTGGGGGACAGTACTCGGGTAGAGGTAGTCAATGCTCGGTTGGTAAGGGTCGTTATAGTCAGATTCTTTTGCAAAGGTCGAGGAAAACTCCTGTTCCTGTGCTCCGGATGGGGTTGGGTTGGGATCCTGAGTGTTCCTATTCTGTGGGGGGGCTGTCCCTTGCTGGGAAGACTGGGTGAAAAAGGACTGGAGCGAAACTTGCTGCGACATGACTGAATGTCCAGTTCTTCTGGCGGCGTAGAGTGATGTTTCGGATATGTTTCTTTTCCTTCCTTTCGGGAGGTCAAGGCTGGAGAATTCTTCACTAGAAGCCAGTTTTCGTGGGTTTCTTTCGCTTAGAACAACAAAACGCGACCGTGCGATCGGGGACGAAGTGGCTCAGCCTGGTATGGTATACCAGGGTAAACCAAGAGGGATAATAAAATGTTTTTGAAGCGAGGTTAACTGTCAGGAAGTTTTGCGAGCCTTAGCGAGCCGGTAGAATACAGAAGAAGAAGAAGAAGAAACTTATATTGCTTTGAAGTACAAGACTTATCGCACGCCGACCCAACCGCCTAAAACACAAACCGAACCGAACAAAAGAAAGAAAGAAAAGAAAACAACAAACACAAATACGAACGAACAAAACAAGAGCAAAACAAGCACAAGCGAGCACGAACAAATAACAAGGAATTTCCAGAACGACACTCAGCCAGAAAACCCAACGACAAGGAGAAATAACATATCTCAGCGGACTCGAGCGCTGGATCCATCAAAACAGAAAATAAAACCAATTTCTAAAGAGTAAAAGGAACCTGCCCTTCCTAATCCCGTCCCTAATCATTTTCTTCCATCCCCTCTTCCAGGTCCGCTTCCGCCTCCGCCGACTCGTACCATTTCGAGAGTTGAGATTGTTTTGCAAATTGTAGGATGAGGTCCGTTCTCAGGTTTGTAAACATCCAGTTTTCCCAGGTCATCGCTCCGGGGATCTTCTCTATCAGGGGGGCGCGGATTCGTGCCCACGCTGGGCATTCCATAAGTATATGTTTCGCTGAGTTTTCCATGCCACACTGGCATGGTTCGGGGTCTGTGTGTACTGCGTGTTTGTCGATTCGGGTGGTTTGGCACCGGATTCGAAATACTTTTTTTGCTTCCGTAAGGGTGAGTTTCGCTATCTTGGGAGGGGGGCGGAATTCCCCCCGGTGATGGTAGTTCGGTATTGATTGTGTGTTCCATTCTTCCAACAGGTGGTCGCGTAGTAGTTTATTTTGGTTCCACTTATCTCTCGCGTTTCCGGGGGTCTGGTATGGGAGTAGTAGGGAGGCGATTCGGTGTAAGCCTGTTCCTTTGATATTTGCTTCTCTTTGTGGGAGGAGCTCGACCAGGGATTCGTTGTTGGGGTGGGTTGCGTCGGTTGTAACGGCAGCTATACGTTTCGGTTATGCGGGGTGTCAGAGTATGTGATGGAAGAATTGTGTAGTGTGTGTGTAACAGGGGTCCCTTTTAAGAGAAATAGAATCGGATAGAATAGAGACGGCCATGCAAGATAGACAATCAGGTTGCAGATTATTCAAAGATACTATCGCTAGAACTCAATAATCTTTAAGGGCTCTGCTACCGATAAGAACTTGGTTTTCTTTCTGATGAAGACTCGGGAGAACAGGACTGAAGGGCGAGAATGAGCCTGAGTACTTATACTCCGAAGGCCTCTATTCTCTGCTCCTAACTCCTTTACTAAGTTCCGGTGGGCCTTCCCTCAGTACCGGAAACAATACCACCGCTACCCCGCTTTTCTCTAAGCGTCAGCAGGTGTTTCCGATACCCAAGGCAACCACCCTTAGTCAAAGCCTTTGTAACACCTGCAGCCTTGGTTGCCACACAACCGAGGACCTGCATGAATGAGCTGCCGCTCAGGTGTAAGCTTAATCATTGCTGTAGAGCTTTCGCTTATTTGTAGACTTCCCTAGCATAGTCCCTGCCCTTCGGCGGACTTACAATGCTCAGAGGATACAGTGGATCACTGGACAATCAGAGCTTCACTCTGGCCAGTCTTCTAGACACTGGCGAGGCATAGACTCGTCAGTCATTGCTCCCATGAATAGATCCCCTTCCTAGCGCCCGGAATGTAGTTACTCTGACAGCTGGTAGCTAACCACACTGCCGGTACTTGCATATCACCGTGCAACTGGCTTCTAACAATAACTCTCAGCATGTAACCGGGCCCTGTGTGTACTCATACACCAGACAGTTGAAATGGCTCCGTTACACCACTCCCCTCTTCCAGGATCTTGGTCTCCGAGATCTATAACCATTCTATTACCATTCTATTACCATTCATTCTATTATGACAAGAAACTCCGTGATATGCAAGAAAATGAAAACCCAAAAGGAAATAATCTACACCCCAACAATCCGCTTGTCCTTGGGTTTCTTAGGATACCTCATATGGAAATCCCGAAGGGCTTCTTCAGCACTCTTCTTGAGATGCTCCCAAGGTTCCCATGTAGCATCCTCGTTTTCATAACCTTCCCACAGCACTAGGTATTCCACTCGTCTTCTTTTCTTATTGACCCGGCTATCAGCTACTTCTCGGACAACCCAGTTCTGTTCTCCTTCAATCTCTTCGGGCTCCGGTACAGGAACTCTTCTCTCAGGATCTACCGGTGCTCGGTAAGGTTCCAGAAGAGAGACATGAAAGACCGGGTGGATTCCCATTTGGGGAGGAAGAGAGAGCTTGTAGGCACGGGTACCAATAGCTTCTAAGACCTTAAAGGGTCCCATCTTCTTCTGATCCAATTTTCCCAAAGGCCGCTTTGTTTGCACATTGCGCCGGTCCAACATAACTTCATCTCCGGGCTTGATTTCAGGCGGTGCCAGGGCGTGAGCATCATACCACCGGGCCATTCTTAATCTAGCTTTACCCAAGCTGGCGTTCATAGCCTGCCAAATAGATTCCCATTGAGATATCATGACCTCGCTCGCTGGATTATTCCATTCTACTCCTTCCTTTGGGGCCGGCCAGTTGGTCCTGGGTTCATAACCATAGTTGGCATAAAACGCCGATACTTTGGTAGACTCAGAGACCGCCGAGTTATATGCATACTCTGCCAAAGGCAAGAGTTCTGCCCAGTCATCCTGTTGATATGAACAATAACTCTGCAAGTAATGTTCCAGGGTCTGATTAACTCTTTCTGTTTGACCGTCCGTTTGGGGGTGGAAAGATGTGGACATCTTCAGCTTCACATTGAGGAGGTTCATGAGAGATTGCCAAAAGTGAGAGATGAACCTGCTATCTCTGTCCGAGACTATGTCATCAGGTAAACCATGGAGTCTCCAAACTTCCTTCAAGAACAATTTAGCCAAATCTTCCGTTTTATTGAGGGTAGGAAGAGGGATGTAGTGTGCCATCTTCGAAAAGCGGTCCACTATTACCCAGATCTTTGTAAACCCACTAGATTCCGGTAGTCCCACAATGAAGTCCATAGAGATGGAAGTCCATGGCCGATAGGGTATCTCCAACGGTTGGAGCATACCAAACTTCTTGTGTCTTGAGGTCTTATTCCTCTGGCAGCTGTCACAGCTCCGGACATATTCCTCAACATCCTTATCCATGTTGGGCCAAAAGAAGTTATTTTTCACCCGCTCTAGTGTCTTAAATTGGCCAAAATGACCAGCCACCTTAGAGTCATGGGTATCGGACAGTATTTCCATCTGAAGCTTCTTGTCTTTGGGTATGTACCATCTATTCTTGTAGAAGATGAGACCGTTCTTGACCGACAAGTTCTGGTCCAAACTTGGTTTCCTTTCAACCAGGGAGCGGTGCAATTCCTGCCAGAAACTATCCTCTTTAGCAGCCGTGTATAGGCGCTCTAAGAATGTATTCTGCAATTGATTCACCCTGACAGCCGCTAGCTTTACAGGATCCAAAACCAATTGACCTGGCCTAAAAAAGATCTGTGGCTCCGGCTGCAGAGTTTCACCTCCCTCTCCAAGGCGGTGATCCCAGCGCCTAGATAGCACATCAGTCTTGCCATTCTTTTCTCCCGGTCTGTAGACAACTTTAAAATTGTAGCCTGCGAGGTCTTCAGACCATCTAGCTTGCCGTCTAGTGAGAACCTTGGTAGAATTAAAGTACTCCAAGTTCTTGTGGTCTGTGAAAACCGTGATTTCTTGCTCACAAGATTTGAGCATGTGTTCCCATTCCCGGAAAGAGGCTACAATAGCTCCCATTTCCTTATCATGAATGTCATAGTTGATCTCAGCAGGGGAGAACTTCTTAGAATAGAATGCCACCGGATGTAGCTTCCCATCACCCCCATACTGAGAGAGCACCGCTCCCTTGGCAAAATCACTGGCGTCTGTCTCGACCACCGTTCTCCTACTAGGGTCAAAATGAAGGAGGATTGGAGCGGTTGTGAATAGCCTCTTGAGTTCTTCAAAGGCCTGCTCATGTGCTGCCGTCCAATACCATTTCTTGTCTTTTTGCAGGAGGTCAGTTAATGGCTTGCAAACCTTACTGAAGCCTTCAATGAAGCGGCGATAGAAGTTTGCAAATCCGAGGAATGCCTGTACTGCCTTGATATTCTCAGGGATTGGCCATTCCTTAACTGCCTCCACCTTGTCTTCTGACATAGATACTCCGTTTTCCGAGATGTGATAGCCTAGGTACTCTACTTCTCGGACATGGAAGGATGTCTTACTGATCGAGGCACAGAGCTTAGCTTCCCTTAGCTTCTGTAAGACCTTCTTGACCAGTAGCTCATGCTCTTTCTCAGTCTCCGAGTAGATGAGGATGTCGTCGATATAGACAACCACTCCTTCATCTAGTAGTTCCTTCAGCACATCATTAATCATGGCCTGGAAAGCGGAGGGAGCATTGCATAGACCAAACGGCATCACATTATACTGATACAGTCCATAGCGAGTTCTGAAAGCGGTTTTCCACTCATCACCTTCAGCTATCCTGATCAGATTGAAGCCGTTCTTCAGGTCTATCTTTGTGAAGATCTTGGCCTTGAACAACCTGTCTCTGAGCTCACTCATGATAGGCAGCGGGTACTTGTCCTTGACAGTGACCTTGTTCAATCCTCTGTAGTCCACACAAATCCGCAATGTCCCATCCTTCTTAGGAATGAACAGTATGGGCGCCGCAGCGGGGCTATTAGATCTAGAGATCTTTCCTGAAGACAATTCTTTGTCCAGGTACTCTCGGAGGGCCTTCAATTCTGGAG